GCAGCCATACAGAATGTACCTGTTTATGTACCTAGTATAGGTACATAATATAGGTAGTTGTGCAGAAACAAGGAGAAAAGCATAGAATGAAGTAGCATAGGCATATGTTTTAATAAGCAGGTTAAAATGTGTATGACACATAACCAGAAAAGATGGCCAATACACAATAAAAGAAAGAGAAACTAGATCCAAAGTAATTTAGAGTCCAGACACATATAAAGGTCTTTTGCAACTGTCTGCATGAGAGGGGAAATGAAAAAAAAAAAATAATGAAAAAACAATTCTTTCTAGAGTCACCTAAACTGTCAAACATACAAACATAGACGAAGTGTATTTAGTCATTGCACTTTTTTTTTAACATTGCATATTTCCAAGATAGTATATAAGACTGATAAAAGTGAATGATGTGAATTTCTCTGTAATATGCTTAGAAATGTCCATGCAAAATTTTGTTTAAACCACATCCAACAGACTTGTGAAAACCAACCTACCGTGAGGAGAAGGTGGCAAGATTTGACTGAGGTGCCAGCATACAGCTTTGATTAATAGGATATTAAATAACACTCAGTAATTTGACTGGTCATGAATTAATCTCTTTTTTCCTGTTGATAGATCTTATACCTCTATCTATATCACTATGTCAGACATTTGATATAAGGCATTCAATCATTTTGAACATTTTTCAGATTACTCAGTTATAAACCTTGTGACTGTTTTATCTCATGTAATTTGTTTGATGACAGCCCATTACATTAAAATGTCTAAAGGAGTCTAATGAATTGGTTACAAAACTTTACAGTTAGCAGTAATTAGCATGAACACCTGTGGTTTTTTTTTGTTGTTGTTGTTGTTGTTGTTTTTTGTTTGTTTGTTTGTTTTTTCTGTCTTTTGCTGGTAAGCAAAAAAACAGATTCTTAGAGTGATGCCCTCATTACAGAATAGAAGAACTATCAGGTTTTACTGATGGCAAAAAAAATAAATAAATAAAGTAAAAATCCAGACAGACCACTGAAAAAGGTGGAAAGACACATAGGAGAGATCCTACTTAGGGTTTTGTTATGACAAACCACAAACAGCAATAATAAAATTACAAAAATATGCATCCATGGAAATGTCCTGAATCTGTCAGAGTGGACACATTCACATTAAGAGAGAATTCCAAAATTTCACAAAAGAGTAGAAAGTGCAGAGAACATGTTTGTTTTTTGTTTTTTTGTTTTTTTTTTTTTTTTTTAAATAAAAAGGTATGTATTCATACGCAGGGTATGCAAATAAGCATGTAGGAGGTTTTCAACTGGGGATCGTTTGGGGATGGTTTTATTAATGTAAAAACTTTTTAGAAATAGAGCCTCTAATCTTCCACTTTAATTATTAGACTGAATAGCTTTGTCCTGATAGACCACTAATGAAATCAGTTAGTCTTGTAAATACTTATATAAAATGAATTGAAAGACCAAAAGGCCATGGCGTCAGCTTTTTAGGAATATAGTCTATCTATCTAAGCATTCTTCCATATATCATCTATCTCTTTAAAAATCAATATTTTACATTTTACATAGTTTGTACTTAAAAGATATCATACGTTGGATCACAACAAATCTCTGAAACAATTTGCAAATGTATAAGCAGTGTTCATAATGAAAAAATGTCTAGAAGAGAATATGGATGTGGACTTTTTAGGTACTAGGCCAAAGGAAGCTAAAATGCTGTTGTCTCATTCCTGTTTCACAGTTTTGAGACCCAAGATGACTGGGGAAAAGAAAGGAGACATGCAATAGGCCCTCATTTCTTGTATTGCACTACATTGTTTCTGTAAGGGGATTCACAAGGGACATACACTGCTCCCAGAAAAAGAAATGAGAGATCAAGAGAGCCACACTCACTTGTTCTCCCTGCAGGCCTGGAATCAAGATGTCATGGTAATTGCCAGTAAAGATAATAAAAACATGTAAGAACATAATTAAATAGAAAAATAAAATAGCATTAGAAAATCAATGATGATAATAATGATGACTAATGCAATTGACATCTGGCACCACTTTGCATCTTTATAGAGTAACTGAGCAGACTAATTGAACCTGTGTTTCTTAATTTTCAGGACAAGCCTTAGTATCTGAAAATTAAGCAAGGGAAGTTTTCTGAAAATACAAAAATCTTCAGAAGTTATATTGTAATTTCCAGGAAACAGCTGGAATGATTCATGACCTTGTGAGTGCAATAGTTGCAAATCATATAATTCTGCTATATGGATAGTAAAATTATAGGCCATAGTTTGCCTTGATTTTATCTCATTTCACTATACAAACTCACAAATATTATTTCCACTTTTTTTCTCCTTTTTGCTGTCACAGGTCTGATTTAACTTTGTATAAGTAAAGCCAAATAAAAGACTTAGACCTGAGAAAATATTGTCTTGTAGCATAGTGTCCAAATTTAATTTCCTTTGGTAATATCAACATACAACTATGTCGTACTGTTTTGGTAGCAGACTCTGATCTTGGACTTTTGATGTCCAGCTGTTCTCTACTTCCTCTAAAAAAAAGGTCGTGATCTACCTTGGTGTGTGTCATTTTGAAATAATTTGAGTCACACAACACTATTATGATAATCAGAATCTAGGATTAAGCATGTAAAGGAGAAAGTAGTTTAATAGTGTATTATAATGTCATGTTATAAAAAAGCCAAGCTAAAAAGAAATTCTATGGCAAACATCACTGTCAAATTTCAGCAAATAGTGACTGAATGCATTTTGAGAAACTCGTAACTACTATTTAGTAGATATTTTCCTGGAGTATCTTTCATATATATATCTTCCTCTCTTTCAAGATAACTAGGCTAGTCAAGTAACATTTATAATAAAACATTTATCTCCATATAAATAATGTTTAAAAAAAAAAAAATCTGCACAAGACTGAGGCACCTAGTAGAAGTTAAGCAATTATTTAAAAATAAACTCAGCTAAGTAAACTACATGCAAACAAGCAAACAAACAAAAACAGCCCCCCCCAAATTTAATGGGAATATTACCCTCAGCCATTTCCAGACTCACAGGCAACACATGTTTTGCACTATATCTAATAGGGCCCATTTATAATAGGTAAGGGAAGAAGCTCACAAATACATGCATCTTCAGAGGGAAGGTATATACATGTAGCCTGATTGCTCAGGCTATATACAGTTATAGTAGTATGGCAACAGGGGAAAGATTAATTCTTAGATAGTCAGGTCATATACTCTATGGATCTTAACCCAAAGAGCTGATGACAAAAAAAAATCCAGTTTGGATACCAAGACATAGTGTTATATGCTCACATAGCAATGCTTAATTCAAACTTTGAGATGCTGCATTATGTAAGAGCATAAAGTTGGTAATGCTGTAAACCTGTATCTCCATGTAGATATTTTCTAATTGTGTAATAAGAAAGGCATAGATAATATGGCAAAGTTATCTGGCAGATTATAACTTCCAGATAGAAGCTCCAAAAGCTAGTTACGTGGACAGCAATGTGCTTTCACTGAAAGTAGCAAAGGTTAAGATCTGTCCAGGGATTCAATTATTTAAAGTGATAAAGAAGAAGACACGTTGTTGCCTTCAGGGGGCAGTGGCGACCTGGTTCAGGAACGGCACGGTGACCAACCCCAGGCCGCTCGGTCCATCGGCTCACAGACACCAATGTGGTGGATGGCAAATGGCGTTTATTGTCGAGTCACATGGGGTTATATACCCAAGGCCCATAGCATCACTTCCACTTGCTTACATCACAGGCCACACACTACTGTCCATCAAGGGAGGGGCTCCACCTTTCCGTACAGCGCCACATCTTCCAGCCGCCAGACCCTAACTACCCACAACACGTTCAGTAAAATGATTGATATTCTGCCTAACATCTTCCTCAGGGTGTCCCCAGACTGTTTTGATCACATCAGTTTTATGAAGATCAAGCTGAATGAATTTCCCTCCCACCTCTTGAACCGAGAGGCTATAACAATCTTTGTCCCAGCAATCCCTGATCCAAGGAGATGACACGGTAAACCAATACAGATTTGTACAGCAGTAAACAAAAGGCTCCTATTCTCCTAAGTCATTCAGCTAGCATGCACTTCTAAGGTGTAAAATTGCAACCAGAGACAAATCTTTTATTCATGATACACACGGTAGCATTTAACCCACATAATGTGGCTGAAAACAGAAGATAATGGACTAGCAAGCCACATCACAAAGAATACAAGTTAGCAAAGTTACATCAAATAGGAGTTTTTGAAATAGGGTTGCAATATATATACCTCATATCTGTGTGCAAATGAAAGTAGCAACAGTTTAATTAAGGGATATAAGATCTCCTTTTTGAGACTTGTGGCAAAGCCTTAACTGATATTTATGTAGTCTAGTTCAAATTAATTATTCTATGTATTCATATGTAAGACCAAGCTTAAAAGATCATTTACATTAAAGAATCACTACATTTAGAAGAAAAGCAATTAATTTAAAAATAGTTGGATGAAGCACAAAATGAACACTCCACTTGCTCAGGGACGGAGTTCATCAGAATCAACACCACCTTAGCGTAGTCCTCAAATCCTGTTTAAACCCTTGGGGCCAAAGTATCCACTGTGTCATGATTCTGAGGGTACTTGCGGCACTGACTGTGCCTGCCCAGACTCAGCTGGGCTTCTCCAACCTGACCAGTGGCCAGGGAGCACCATTTCAGCCTGGCTGGGGTCATCAGTCCCTGCCCCAGTGATACCATAGGTGTGTCATCTCTTATACATGTACGTGTCTTCTGCCACTCCTGAAAACAGAACAAAACAAAACAAAACAAAACAAAACAAAACAAAACAAAACAAAATAAAATAAAATAAAATAAAATAAAATAAAATAAAATAAAATAAAATAAAATAAAATAAAATAAAATAAAATAAAATAAAATAAAATAAAATGTGTCTGGTTCCCTCGTTTGCCATGTCTGCTGTGGGACTCTGTCACTAGCACCCTTCTCTACCCATTGTGGTCAGGCCCTGCTCAGTGAGGGCAACATCTATGGCCACCACTGGCTCCCAGCTCATTGGCTCCTTGTGCAACAGCCATGTGCTCATAGCTCCCTTGCATGATCGTCCAGGTCTTTTGAAGTTACCAGCAGTATAGACGTTCAGCCACTTGAATCCAGGTTGCCTTTGTGGGAACATTGACATCCTGATTAAGGAATTCAGGCAATTGTGCTTCAGCATTAGTGAAGTCTTCATAAACATTTGAATAATATTCTTAAAACTACATGTATGTTCTAACTTCTGTGCATCAGGAAGGATGCCACTTTCCTTTATTTGGCTGGGGAAATTGTCTACTGGTGATGGACATCCATCTTCTAAGATATATCTGGAGTTGGTTTTTTTTGGAAGCAGAGGTGAGGCTTACTTTTTTGAGCAAGGCATTGCACAATGCTACGGCTTTCTGGGTCAAGCTTGAACAACAGTGGCAGGATGCTGCATTTAATTTAGACCTCCCTTTTGTCTATTCATAATCTAAAAAAATGTTGAGTTCAAGATTGAGTATATGCTCATGAAATTTCAGACAGCACCTCAGTCTCCTGGAGGACTTTTAATTTAATTTTAATCTTCTGTGGTCATTTTTACTCCAGATTCTTTGTTTAAAAAGGAAGTAGGAAAAATTGATACTTTGAATACTTAGGATTCATCAATGACTCTGTACTCTAGGAAACTTTCATTTACAGTGTGCTTCCTCCTCTTCCCAACATTATAAACTGGGAAAAAATAAAAAAAAAAATAAAAATCTGGCAAGGTAGATTATTGCCATTGGCATGTGATTGCTGAATTAACAGGAAATATTTGTTGCAAGTGTTTCTGTTGTAATTGTAAGAAGCCTTGAGGGTTAGGTTTCTTAAATGGGGTTAAACTACAACATGACTAAGAAAAACTGTTACTTTTTAAACAGTCTTAGATGTAAAAAGTGTTGCTTGATAAAAAGGTCTAATGTATGCCAGAGAAATTATGAGAGAAAAGCAGTAACATTACATCAAAGAGCTTCCAGCAGCTGCTGAAAAATAAGCACCCTGAAGCTGTGTTCTTCAGTATACCCTCACCCTGCACATCTCACAGAGTTAGGAGGAAGATTGACAAGGAAAAGGAGATTGAATGGGACTTCCCTTCAGCTAAAAATAACACAGAGGATTTACCGCAGCATTATTGGATTCTAAATATTTAAGTGCTAGAAGACTTTTTTCTACTATGCTGAATGAATGGAAGAAAGAAGGAACTTCTATACGCTTTAAAGAGCTCACAAAAACAAACAAACAAACAAAAACAATATCCTCTCCTCACCTGCCCTCTGTACCAATATGCTTACTGAGTTGAACAGAAGAGATTTCTGCTTCAAAGAGGGAGTGTGTCAACTTTGGGTCAGCAGTAAAGCTCATTCAGAATGATAAAGACAAATGTTCGACCACTGCCAGTGAGGAATCTGTGTTAAACAGGTTGGTGCATCTTCCTACAAGGGCCATACAGCTTCCCAGACTTTTTTCCAATATCTTCTCTTTTCAGTGGTTAGAATACAGCAAGTGCAGATAAAAAGCCTCATATTTTAACAAAAACATTTCACTTTAGCAATCCCATTCTTGTTTGTCTTTGTCAGTTTACTCCTTTTATACAAATTCTCCATGAGTTTGTGAAGAGATTCAGATTATCCAGAAGTGTAATATTAAACAGTTGAAATAAAGAGCAGTAGAGCAATAAAAGGATGTGTTCATCAGATGACAATGGTGGAGGGGGAAATAATTTAAATGTTCCATATGCATCTCCTTTCCTCACTTAATGATAAGATTCAGGGACAAAAACCTTGTCTTTATTATATGGGAATAAGAACATGTAAACAGGATGAAAGGGAAAGTGGAGAACTATGAAGAACCTTGTTGGCATTACAGTTTTCTGCTCCAGTCATGTTTGTTACTAATAAAGTATAGTTTTAAGGGAGCATTTTAGATATAAACACATCTGTTGCATTAACAATAGGTACCAGCTCTGACTTCCAGATACCTCCACAAGACACTTTCATAAACTTAAGGGAAAATATATTATGCCTATTCTTTCCTATACAAAGGTGAAGTTTACAACAAGCAAATTAATGCCACCTGTTTATAGTGTATTGTACTTTGTATTGCTTGCAGTTAGTTTATACGCACAACAGAATATTAAATATTGATGGAACTGTGGACTTAACAGCTGTGTTTATTAGTGGTTATATCTTTTAATATACTTCACTTTGCTATAGACTATTAGGTTACATTCTATGGCCTATAAGGCATGAAACATGAAATGGTTACCATTTGAATCACTGTGAAGTATTAATATAATACAATAGACTCGCATAATAGACTAAATGTGGTTACTACAAGATTGCCTCCAGCTGTGAAGGAACCAGGTATGATATTTCTACAGTCTTGCTATGTTTCTTCATTGCTATGTTTCTCTGTTCAATGTTTCAGCCCATTAATACAGGTGAAACGTTTACAGAAGTGTAATGTCAGCAGAACAGAGTAATTCATTTGTTAATGCATGTCTCAGAGGGAAAACATTACATTTCTTGTTCAAACTAATATAGACTAAAAACAAATTAATTTGTAAGGTATTTAAATACTTTGTTGGACCATAATTTGTTAATTTGGTTGGTATTAATTTTTTGCTTCCATTGTGGGCATTGACAGAGAGGTTTAAAAAGTTCCTCTGATGGAAATCAACAATCAGTTTATTGTGAAGACCAAAATCAATTACATACTTTACCAGAGTAAAAATATCTACATCAAGGAGATAACTTCTTCCTTCCACATAACAGCTACAGCTACACTGATACCGATACAGGTACACTGATTACTACTGATACACTGCACAAACATTGACATTTTCTTAATTCAGAGACATATTCTCACGATTAGAAAACACAATAGCAGAATTGACTACCCTGTCTTATTCCCACTGAATTGTTACAATAATTGTTACAAACAATTTTCCAATTGTTACAATAGCAACAATAGTGGATTTATATTAGAGAATCATTCTACAAGCATGGCTTTGACACTATCATCTTTTGATCTCTACCTTTTCTTTTGTTGAACTGCTTAGTGTATTTATGGCTAATATTAAGATATTGATAATCCTTAGTCTGGCAAAATGGCTTATTTCAGAACAGTTTAACTATATTGATGAAGATAAAAGTTAACAAGCCTTTGGTAATTCATTGTTCAGCTTATGCACTGATTAATGAATCTTCCTTATACCATGTGGTTAACTTTAAGGTTCTTGGTGCTCATGGCTTCACAGACTCTCTTATGATGAAAGAGTCTTCTGAGCCTAGTGACTTAAAAAAGAGGCAAGCTCTTTCTAAACAGCAAAGAGTATATTCCTACTCAAAGCAACTACAAAATCATGAATTTAATGTTTTTATTTACTAATAAACTTCTATATATTCAAAGAGTTGCATATTTAATAAATAGGGATAGACATCTTTCTAGACTTCCCAGGAACACGCCCAATCCCTAAAATTTATTAGGTTATGCTCTATGAAAATCATTATTTATTGTTACTGTACTTTGTTATTTTTTTAAGTTACATAGAATAAAAGTTACAAAGTTTTAAGTTACAAAGAATAAAATTTACATCTACAAATGTATCTTTTTTTTCTTTTTTTTTCTTTTTTTTTTTTTTTTTCCTAAAGTAACCTGAAATCTTATTTTTAAATGTTAAAGCATTTTTCCTTTTTTGGTAACATTTTTCATATGTTTTTTTTTTGAGGTTAATAGAGTAACATATGCTTCTGTCAGTGATATATCAACAAACTGCATTTATACTACATTGTATGTTCTGCTAGCCCACCACAGCTGAGGTCTGATTGAGACTGTAGCCTCAAGTGACTATAAACTAAACAATTATTTTTTTTTAAACTAATGTGTATGCTTCCTAATGATTCACAACATTAAACTCTCACTTGGCAGGACAGCAAAAACTCTTATTAATTTATTTATTTATTTATTTTGCTCTAGGCATAGAAATTCTGCAGAACATTTTTTTTAAATGGTTGTGGGTGACCAAAATGCAATTTAAAACTTCAATGGTATTTGGTCAGGGTTGCTTGCTTACTTGTAATTGTTTCCAGAATGTTTGTTTGGAAATTTGTTAGATTATGTATCACACGCAATAACTCTATATGCCAAATTCACTGCTGTAATACTTGGCACTGCAATTGGTTATGCTTATTTCAGCACCACTTAAAATAGCTAGTTCTTTATGTAAGCAAGAATAAAGGTGATTTCAGTCTATGGTTCTTTTTTTCCACATGCAATAGCATTAAATGAGTTGCAGCAGGAGTTATTTCTGATGATATGTTTTGTAATTTGTTATGGTCACTTTTTCCTCTTTCAACAAAAGTAAACTTTTTTTTTGTCTTTTTCTTTTTTTTCTTTCATTTTTTTATTTTTTTCTCTTTTCTTTTCTTTTCTTTTCTTTTCTTTTCTTTTCTTTTCTTTTCTTTTCTTTTCTTTTCTTTTCTTTTCTTTTCTTTTCTTTTATTTTCTTTTCTCCTCTTCTCTTCTCTTTTCTTTTCTTCTCTTTTCTTTTTTCTCTTTTGGGGGGAGGTTTGAAGTTATTTTTATTCTGGTAGCTGGAATAAACTTCAGATTATTGTAACTGAAATCTTTCATACACACAATATATTTCAAAGTTAAATCAAGCTTTCTTGCACATCAGACATACAATCATAGAATCAGAATGGTTTGTGTTGGAAGGGATCTTAAATTTCTTCTAATACAACCACAATATAATTTTACATTTTTTTTGTTTTTACTTTTTTTTTTAATACGTTTACATGATTTTAGAGAACAACAGGAATAACATTACATAAACATTGCATTTGAATATTAATTTATGAAAAAAATAATATGTTGATGTTCTCCAGTTAACTACTAGCAATATCTTGGTGTTAAGAGCAACAATTATATGCCTATTTGAATTCATGGTGATATCTGAATCTACTGAATCACAGATTCATTTACATTATAAGGTACCTCTCAAGATTTTCTAGTCTAATACCCCTGCTCAAGAAAGATCTGCCACAGCAGTTTGTCCAGGGCCAAGTCCAGTAGGATTTTGATTATTTCCAGAGATTGAGACCCCATGACCTGTGTTTGTAA